TGCCTATTTCTCGTTGTTCGCTTTGTGTTGCCGCAGTATTCGCCACAGTATAGTAACCAATAGTCAGTACTAATTTGTACTGGAACCAGCAAATTTTTACTGGAAAAGTGTATAACCCAAAAAATTTGAAAGAGAGCACTGAATCGAGAGCGTAACAACACCGGTGAGCTGCAAATTCTTGCTAGTGAAATTTTTACTAGCAGAAATTAGCTAGCAGAAGAAGAAGAAGAATAAATGTCAAAAGCCGCCATTTGTTGAATTGGTTTAGCACAAACAAAAGTAAAATAGGTGGAAATCAAAATATTAATGATGTACTAGACCGTGTAAGTGCTTGTGTTTAAAACTGATTTATAAATAGTAAAATGTTTACAGCGTTTTTGCGTTCAGTATAAGGTCGGTGTTATGCAGAAATTTTGTTTGGCAAACTGCGTGCAATTGTTGTTGCAGCAAACTCGGAGAGAGCGAGTTTGGCGACTCTCACAGCAAACTAATTTTGTTTGGTCAAACTGCAGCAAATTCGGTGTTGTCATATACAAAAATTTTAGACAATTGTTGCTATACACAAAAACTGCCGTGATACCGAAAGCCAGAGAACTGAATTTATGCTGTAGGAGCTTCAAAGATTAGGGCACAGTTAATTGCCTATACGATATCATAAAAAATATATTAATTGTGCGCGTTATGTACATCTGAAATTCTCATTTCGTGTTGGCAATAGCCATGAAAACCATAATGAACGTGCAACCCTGTGTCAAACTCGACATAACCACCTCCGAGCAAACTAAGCAGCCGCCATATAATTTGGCAAACAAAAGTTTGTCTGCATAACACCGACCTAACTTTTTCTGCTAGTTTTCTCTTCTCAATTTTACGCTCTATTTTGCTTTACTGCTGCAATGTTTTACTGGAGAAGTTACTATACAAACCTAGTGCTACCATCGCGCCGGAGAAACGTTTTCTGGGGCGAATCTCATTTATAAATAATCCTTATTCCAAGTTTTCACTTCTTTAGCAGGGATAAAAAATGGAAATTTCAGACTACCTAATATCATAAAATAAATGTACCTAAAAGAGACAGATTGTACCTAAAAAAAGTTACATCATTCATTTGTAGTTTTTTTTTTTAAATTTATTTTAAAACATGAATACAAAAGATGGTGTACTTTAAACATGATTAGGTTTTTTCTTTAACTGAGCCTATATATATAGACTATAGGTTAGTGGGAATCGAAGAAGCGTTGTTTTTGTCTAATTTTGACTACTGAAAAATATTGGCGAAAAAGACAAAAAACTCACTTTGCGAAGTATACTACTTTATCCAACTTTTTATAAAACAACAGGAAAAGTCTGCTAATTTATCCGATTCCTTTTAATAAGTGCAGCAAGCCTAGAGAAAATAATCAAATTGTAAGTAACTTCGAAAGCATTTTAAATACATTTCCAGCAGGGACCGCATATAACGATTACTTTTGAAAATTTCTACTCAAAAAATCACACTGAAAGAGAAATGCTGCGTGCATAAGGAGTACACCAATATATTTCTTACTACTCGGAATACCTTCAGCGGCACTGATTTTTATTTTTTAATTTTTACTTATAAAAATCAAGTTTAATCATTATTTTTTGAGTTTTATTTTTTTACTCAGAAAATAATCGTTATGTTTTGAGTTATGTTTTTTGCTCGGAAAATAATAGTTACGTTTTAAGATTTATTTTTTGCACGGAAAATAATGGTTACGATTTAAGTTTTATTTTTTGATCGGAAAATAATCGTTACGTTTTAAGTTTTATTTTTTGCTCGGAAAATAATCGTTATTTCTTGATTTTTATTTTTTGCTCGGAAAATAAAACTTAATTTTTGCGTATGCGTATGCGCATGTGTGAATAGACAGGGGGCGGCTGCATTGAACTTTTAACGCCACTGCGGAGTGGGTAATGAAAATACAGAGAACAAGAAACAAGGGCAGAGACAAAGACAAGGGCTGAACATCTTCATCTTCATCACCATATTCATCTTCATCTTTGTCTTCATCTTGACCTTCATCTTCATCATTATCTTTATCCTTGTATTTTTATTTATCTTTAACTTTGTCCTGTTCTTTATCTTTGTCATTGGCTTGATCCTTCAATATAGGTTGTGAGAGTCTGTGGATTTGTCGTTGCCCTTGTCTTTGTTTCTGCCCTTGTATCTTGCTCTCTGTATTTTCATTACGCACTCCGCAGCGGCGTTAAAGTTCAATGCAGCCGCCACCTGTCTATTCACGCATGCGCATACGCATACGCAAAAACTAAGTTTTATTTTCTGAGCAAAAAATAAAACTCAAGAAATAACGATTATTTTCCGAGCAAAAAATAAAACTCAAAACGTAACGATTATTTTCCGATCAACAAATAAAACTTAAAACGTAACCATTATTTTCCGAGCAAAAAATAAAACTTAAAACGTAACGATTATTTTCCGAGCAAAAAATAAAACTTAAAACGTAACGATTATTTTCCGATCAAAAAATAAAACTTAAAACGTAACCATTATTTTCCGAGCAAAAATAAAACTTAAAATGTAACGATTATTTTCCGAGCAAAAAATAGAACTCAAAACATGACGATTATTTTCTGAGTAAAAAATAAAATAAAAAATAATCGTTATGTTTTGAGCAAAAAATAAAACTCAGTCAATAACGATTAAAAAGTGATTTTTATAATAAAAGTTATAACCGTTACGGTCCCTGATTTCCAGGAATCAAAAAGCGAATATGGGTTAAATAGCTATAGTTCTCATCTAAAAAAAATATGAAATTTGAAATAAAATTGATTCCGTGTGGCTTTAGCGTGGAGTTCACCAAAGGTGAGCTAACTGGATTGTTCCGCTGTTTGAGAAGTAAGGGATGGTGTATGGAAACTAGTGTTGATATTTTAAGTACAATTGTACTTTTTTCAGTACAATTAATTTTAAAAAGTACAAAAGTACAATTTACTGATTTTAAGTACAATTTCAACATCAAAAATCCTTTTGTATAAAACGCTGAAATCTCTGCCACTTTTATTATTAATCCGTTTGCGTTTAAGTAAATGGACATACCTACATTTCATATTTGGTACGAAACGAAATTCTGAATTGTAATTTTGAAAGTAAACCTGATTGTGAATGGTAATATTAGTGTTGAACGTTGTGGTTATTGCTACTTTTTTTTATCACCGGTGGGTGAAATATCCCCCAGCGCTATTTATTTTGAAAAAATCTTTGGAAATGCAGTTTACCTAATGACGATCTTGCAGAAAACGAAGGAATTGAATAACTCGAGGGTTGAAAGTAAAGTTGTACGTAAATTTCATGCGGTGGAACTAAAAATTTCGACTGTGGACTTCCATTTTAGTGTTACTGATCTCATTTTATGTGATTTAATTTCCCCAATATAAACTGATCTATCTTCTGTATTTATTTTTTGTCCTTATTGTTTTCATATTTGAATATATATATACATCTCGCCACAAAATTATACGGTTACACGGGTTGGGCTATTTATTTCAGATTGATTAAAATTTTTTTTTTATATATAATTTTTGGAATATAATTTAAGAATTTATTTGTAGCTTTATCGTCTAGTCGGAGAGATCTCAATGATAAGTTACGTTAAATTAAGTATACACCAACTAAAGCTGTACAATGAACTGAAAGATAAACTCACTGCAGTAGAAAAAAAGGTGTATGTTTAGTTGAAGTAAAACGCGAGGTAGTGCAATGATGGAAATGGTGAAAAGTACAATTAAGCTCAAAAAGTTACAGTTTTTTTAGTTAGTTTTGTACAGTTTAAAAACCTCAAATATCAACACTGATGAAAACGCAGCTATCTATCCCGCATACGGCGGAACGCACGAGCTGTGTTTTCCAGTTCTGATCGCCAGCGTGAGCATTTAAGTATCCATGGCTGGTTTTGAAGACACGGACGACACCAGTACACTATTCGCTCCTTGGGCGAGTTGAAATAGCCAGTCCGCGAAGTTCTCAAGATTGCTGGAGGATAGCTCCAACTTGTGCATACGGCAATAAGTCCGGGCAACTTGTTCACTAGCTCTTGCTCCAGCTCGGGGTTGTTGAGATTTCGCAGCATATTCGAAGCCTTCATTGCTCCGCATACATTTTGTACCTCTAAAGGCTCCGTTATGCATACTTGGCATGGCTTGAGAGCTGTCACATAAGAAATCTGTTAAATGAGCCGCGCGTGTAATCGGTTATCGAACGCACAGCACTACATACGTAGAAGTCTGTTGGTTTTTGATTTCTACGTAAAAATGGTATAGCAGTGCATGCAATGCCAAGTATGCATAACAGAGCCTTAAG